CTACTACTACTACTACGACTGCTGTTTCCATACAGGGCTTACTCACTCCTGCTCATAGTGCTGCTGCTGCGGCTACTTCCACTGCAATTTGCTGCACGGGACGGGGTAGCTCCCATGCTTTGAGGAAATACATGTCGGTCGGCGTCCACTGCACTGGGGTTAATCACTTCAGTACCGGATGTGTCATGCATCCACACATCAACCTTTTGAGCGTCCACATGGGAGTTAAGCATTTCGGCACCGGAGCTGCCACAGATCTAAATCTGCCTGATACATGCAGGCTGCTCCCCTGGCCAGGCCAACTCTCGTCCTTCCTTCCTGCTCTCGTAAACTGTTGTCACTCCTTGTTTTTGTTATGCCGTGCTTGCTGTCGAATTATTATAAGTGCGCTCTGTGGTTATAGCTGTTTGTTCTTAATTGTATCTACTTAGTTCTTACTCCGCCTACATCCTTCTGGCCGCGTAGGCACATTCGATATTGGCAAACGTGAGGACAGAGACAGAACCTGTCAAGGTGAGGTTTCTGTAGTGTGCAAGGCCAATAAATCATCGAGCAAGCAAGAAACCGACCCTTCGTGCCCACGGTCTCAATTATCCTACCTGCAAAGGCCAGGGAAACACTGCGGGAAGCAAGTTGCAGTGAAAATTGCATCTCGCGAAGTTCCGCCTGGAACCCTGCCAGCCCCCAGGCGTCAGGCTCAGCCCAGCCTTAGGGCCCTCACCCCAAGGTGCAGCCACACTGGGTGAACGACAGCTGTTGGTACTTCAGCTGGTCGGCCCTGCTTTGGTTAAAGGCTGAATCTAGTACCGAACTCACTTCTTCGTGCATCTTTGCTTTTCGTTGGGCCCTTTGAAAGTGTAGGCCTTCACCTTCAAAGGACCTGCAAATGTTGCCATTCGTTTGGAAAGGGGCTTCAAGACGGATTTGTTGATTGCTGGCTGGTGTAATGCCGGCGTATTGCGTATACGGACACGTGGAAGTTTAGAACAGGAGCTATAGATGAAGAGCCATGTGGACGTAGTGCGCCATCGCCAGGTCAACGGCATCAAGCCATGGGAGGTTCAAGTTCCAGCTTGTGGAAGCACTTCTGGGGGTTTCGAGTTTGATGATGTAAGAGCTTTGACAGGAAAGACGCTAGTTAGTTGGGTCCGTAGCTTGTTCTGCCGGTGCTTGGGTGTGGCATCGTGTCAAGGCTTTGTTGTAGTTGCGGTCATGAAGCAGATCTCCGGATACCTATAGCTTTCCTTGAGCTGCGGCTCTGTTGTTGCGGGGCCGACGTATTCTCAAGTGAACGGAGCTTCTTCCTGAATAGTTGTAGTTTCGTCGTCCGAATCTCAGCCATGCGTGTGATTGTTGTTCATGTTCCTGTGCATCCATTCTCGATCCACAATTTCCGAATTGAGTAATTAAGTAAGGACGTCGGTATACAAGTCCTCCGCTCAATCGTGATGCGACTGCAGTGCTTATTAGCTCCCGGTTTGCAGAGATCTAGAAATTTCTGCTCGTACGTCGTTTTACAGCCTTTGAGCCTGCCAGTCTGAACAGGCTCTCCTGGAGCGCTTTCTGGACACTTTTCACACCATCGCTCGCCACGGACGCTCGGTCTTCACGACTTTGACTTGACATGACATGCGTTGAAGACAAGGGTGATGCTGCTAGGCTGATTTTCGAGCATGTACGAATCTTCTAGCCGAGTCAATAAGTGCTATGTGCCAGACCTTCAGCGACACCCAAGCTAGCCAAGGAAAGCGAAAGCCCACGAGCCTTGTTTAGCCTTGCATCTGCTGTGCGACACAAAGACAACTTGCCGTTGCAAGAAGTGCAGTAAGTTACTCGTCGCCCTTACGATTGTAATGACTTCCGAACCTCACCGGTGGACAGGGCAGGAGACGCACCGGAATTTCGCTTGTTTTAAGCCCAAGACGCTTCATCTGTTACGCCATACACCTGATCTGCGAAGTTGCCCCTCAGGAGATGTGCAAGGAGCCTGGACGTCAGAGCAGCAGGCGCTGAGACACGGCCACGGTATCCACAGTTTTGCTGCCAACGCTGGTATACCACGAAGATGATGTTGATGATGGTGATGA